CGTTCATTGTTTCATTTTGGTAGGTGACTCTACCCGGACCTTAGCAGTTTGTGCGGCGAATTATAGATATTATTGAACAAGAAATCCAAGCCTATCAATGTACATCGAAGTGGCATTGGATAGAACTAACAAAAACAGTTGAACGCAGAACTCTTGTACAAAACGGAATTTCCTCGTTGCCGTCTAGGCTTGGGCACCTTGGCAGTATCAAAACCTTGTCCTTGTGCAACCTTCGGGTGGCATGGCAGTTTGGCACCGAAAGGATGCCGTGGCTGAACAATTTAGAAGTGACCGAATGGTCTCTGTCATCTCGCGATAAAAGTTCCTTGTGTCCGCCAAAACTATAACGCTAAGCACTTCTACTGATGCCTCTCCGCAGCTAGGCACCGAAAGGGCGCTACAGCTGAACGATTTATTTTATTTTTTTTAATTTTTCTCCGTTACATAAAATCTGGTTCCGGGAATGGCAAGATTTTACTTTTGTTTCCTTTCAACAGCGTATATCTGCGCAACGACAAGTGACAGGGTCACCAGTTTGAGATAGATTCTACGACATATTGTAGCTGTCCGACTGACCAATCTTCGCGTGACGGGCAGACAAAATCCTATTACGAAAGGACCCTTGCAATTTATTGTCTGGTGACAAATTAATTCTTCTAACACCTCCAAGTCTGGTGTGGTTGCCAGGATTCTTTTGGTGAATGATTACATTAAACACGTTTTCTGACAGATAAGAATAATATCTGGTGATATTCGATTCACATAGTATGGTTGAACACTTCACAGCTGTCATCGCCGCAGCCTCTGTGATCCAAGTGTTCTCTCAGCATGTGAGACACGGGATACCCGACCCGTCATTATGATAAAACGAACTATAGTTTACGACTAGAGGATTCTAGCAGTTCAACACGAAGTGGGGACTCGAGCACTGCATCAGGAAACCGTATTACGGAAAAACAGCTTTAGTAATAAAAATGTTAAAGCATATTATGACGACCGTGAAGGCTTCGGCAGGGGAAAACTGCAGTGACTGAGTTTAGTCCCCTGTAACAGAACGCAGGGAACTAAGCAGTGACGAATGCGCTGCCACCGAATCACCTTGATGACAGTAACATCGTCAAATGCGAAAGATGTCTTGATGGTTAGAGCGCGACTTTACTGCCCCGAAGGTCCGTGGTTCTAACCCGACCTCTGCCTCCCGACTTCCACTATCCAGGCTTGGGTGACCTGCCAGCATCCCAGTCCTTCTGTTTCCTTCAGGTGGTACGGAAGCTAGGCACCGAAAGAGTTTTACAGCTGGAGGATTATTATTTATTTCAATGTCATTATGCGTTACCACGGAGGAGCACTGGTTCAAATGACCGTGACATCCATCAGCCGCCTGAACTACAGGAAGAAAGGAAGGCACGGGCCTAGTGTGTTCCCTAAAACCATATGCTAGTGGGAGGAAAGGTAACGGAGAGGAAAGGCAAGGAACATGGACAGTGATGTCACGATCAGCCGGAGGCAATATGTACGACAGATAAAGCAATTATGAGACCGCAAGCTCCACGGGAAAAGAAGCAACGTTTCCAGCAGTGAAGCAAGCCTATTTTGATATATTTCTGGGAGCACACCACATTGTTTACGGGACACTCAGGCAATGATTCTGGTGTACTCATATTCAGGCTTATCTGTCCCCATTTTAGGATACACATAACGGTTTGCAGCCCCGCAACTTTGTTAAGTCTATTTTGAATAAATTAGCTTATATTGCGTCAACATTGTCGTGTAGACTAAAACCCTCTACTTGAGACGCGATCATAACGGAGCGCACAGCACCGAAGTTGATAGGCGCTCGGACTACTGATGGCTTCAAAGTGTGGGTACTTAGCAGGTGCAGTTGGAAACCATTCCACTAGGAGAGAGAGGATCAACAAGATAGAGATGACCTGACTAAACATAGCAGATATCTGTCGAGCCACTTATCTTGGTCAGGACAGGAGGCAGTTTTCAAACACTGCTTTCTTGATATAAACTCCAAGACCGGGTCTACATGTTGAACTCCAAGAGGGGTAGCGGGCTGCCGAGGAGTGTTCGGCAAACTCATAGGCAAAAAAGAGCTCCCCGACATGCCCTTGCCAACTAAAACATGAAGCTGAATTTATGCTGCACATTCATTTCAAAAACATAGGATGAAAATTTGGCTGACAGTCAGTCGGGCATCCTGTAAGCACCAACTTAGGTTTCAATCGAATGTAGTTCATCAGTACTTCTTTTTGTTTTGGGAATGATCGTACTCGGATTACTGAGTCTCCAGGCATTTTGGCAATCGAAAAAAAGGGTCCCTATGGAGGTTTGGGAGCTACGGACCGTTGTAGAAATTATTGACGAAAAAGGCTGGATCTGTGTGTAACAAATGCCACGTCTGTCACAGATGTTGAACTGTAAACAGTAATCGATGAATAACCCCAGCACATCTTCTTTTTATGAGGTAAGTCACAAGGCCAAATTATCATCCAACTCACCATGGCGAGCACCGAGGGAATCGGTGTTAGATTGGTCACACTGACCATGGACAAGATACTGGGCATGTGACCTTCCTCTGCACCAGTAAAACAAAGCCTGTAATGAAGAACAATATACAGCATGAGAATAACGAAAAGCGAACGTCCATCGTTTTTTGACAATTTTGGGAGTAAACAAATAAACACCGAAAAAGAAATAACCCATTGAAGGCTGACTTAAACAAGAGTGCTCCGGTTGTACTCTATTCGTCAGATACGACTATGGGGAGTACGAGATTTCCGAAGTTCACGTGACCCAGTATTTTTTAACTTGATAGGGATTTGGTGTGGAACAGTAGGATATCGTAGGTGGAGGAAAAAGCTTGTAGCTGACTTCGGAAAAAACGCCACATTACGGTGTTCCCCATCCTACCACAGATTTTATGATCTTCATCAAGCTGAACTGACTGATCGACCGTCTCAACTTGACGTGAAGCTTTTGAAAGTAGACGAAAGTAGTACGTGGTGTAGCCGAGACTACAATTTCCTCGTTTTTGGAATTCTTTACAACCATATAAAACTTACAATTTCGGATGTGAATGACTGAATGAAAGTACAACTTTGTGTCATTGGAGAACGCCTCAGGAAAAACCGCCTGACTATTAGACTTCTGGCACAGGTGCCCGGAGGACGATAAATGACCTAACAGGTTGAAATGAGACTCATACTATTTGAATTGGAAGCAGTAGCATGTGTGGATGAACCTGACTTACCTGGACATGGAGAGCACCTCACCGTTGATACTGCCAAAAACGGATGCGGCGACAAAGACAGGCATAATCCAAGCCATCACGCCCATGCATCGATTGGCCATTGTCTAGAACACAAGGAGGAATTTCAGGAACCACTAGAGTAAACTGTCTCTCTTTTCGGTCAGTGTGAGTTGTCAGTCGTGAAAGCAATTCCATACCATCTCCCCGGGTGTGCACGAGAATTAGAATATTTAAGTAAATAATCAGTCAGACATATGGAATAAATCGCTGCAGACTGAAGTCAAAACGAAGTTTTGACGTCAGAACATATTTCTTTGTCTCGCCAGTTGTCTAGCCACAATTAATTCCGTGTTTGGGACCAGATAGCCCGTGGACAGGCGAACACGAATACGCAGATAAGTGTTAGGGCTCTCTTTCGACTTTACAATTTCAAGTTCAAATACACCGTCGAATTTGTTCTTAGGACTGAGGTGCAGACATGAATCATGGTTTTATATGGGAGAGCAAAGTTGGTTGTGAATTCAGGTACTTCACGAAGACTGGATGTGCAGTGCCAAACTGTTTTAACGGTCTGCCAATCGCTACGCCTTTCGGGATTATGTGCACTGCAGTTGAGGTGACAGCAAGCCATGGAGCCTGATGGCAGACTTAGACTGTGAATTGCTGGATTCTTAGGAACGTTTGTAGAAATCCCGGGAGAGAACTGTTTCTCCGTTTCCAAATGAGCCGACAAATAAATAGTCTATCTTCTCCAAGTTGGTCTCTATCAGCAACACAATTGGGAAAGCAGTGTTGAATGTTCCAACGACGCCAAGTTTCACCTGGCACTTTCTGATCGCCTTCAGAAGTAGGCATCATGAAAAGTTTGCTGAGCGACATCACGTCTATTCTTTCTTTTCAATACCGTTTGCTAATGAGTTCACTTGGATAGCCATTTCTCTGCAATACGGTTGATTTAACGTCCCGCCTCAATATTTGACTGCCTCCACTCAAAAGATACTGTACCGGAGTTCTTTTACGTTCCGTAGAACGAAAAAGTTTGACTTTTGAAAAAATAAATTGAAATGGTATTATGCTCCGTTGCCTTAGAAAACCAGAGGAGTTTTCTGCTTCAAGCTCAACGATGAGTTCACCAAAGCACTGGTGTGGTTGAGGTAACTGAAGAAGCTTGTTGAATATCATTCAGCGCATTTGTTGCGTTAGTCACACAGCGTGCATCCGAATTGATTGGCCGTTTTATCACGCCAAAACCTTCAGCGGCCAAATGGGTTCATCTAGCACATTGAGAATGCAATCATAAACATTCCTTAGTACCTTTGTAGTATTTTTTTGGCCCCAAGATTGCACTCTTGTTTCTACGAGGCTCTTTCCGGAGGAGAGGTGATTCTCAACGAGCCCTAACACAATGTCAGCTGTCAACGAATCTGTAAAACATCCCATTTTCACAGTCAACGAATTAGCTTCCAAGTGGTTATTACTACCGAGTGATTTCTGTGATAGTTCGAGGAGGCATTCACAGAAGCGTTCACGCTGAAGTACACTATGAATATTATCTCCCTAGTTCGTGCCAAGGAAAAAAATAAATCAAGTGATATGGCTCCTATCTGTAACTGACAGTAAGCTCTTTGGTAAATTAGCCTCATGGTTTTCTGGTTTCACTGGTGAATGTTCACTGCAGTCCGACGAATTTCTTCGATCGCAAACGTCTCTTTGTTGGTAGGCTGTGGGAGAAGCTAAGCAGATGATCACGACGAAGCAGTTGTTCAGGCTGTTCACCTAGGTCCTCTCTAGTTAACGGTTTCACTGTGTCTCTATTGATAGTATCCTCTAACAAAACGTATGTTCATTTGTAGCAACACTTCAGCCTTTGATCACAAAGAAATAGTCGGAACCGCCACAAGATTGCGACCCACCGATGCATAAGCTAGAGCGCTGATTTGTACACTGGGGCTGGCATACTCACTGGAGATGTAAGCCAGGAGTGTAGAGTGATCACTTCCTAAAACTAGGGCTGCCAACTACAGATATGACTGATTTTGTAGGCGGCTCTGAGGGACATGTAATTGAGATTCTCTCGGTCGTGGTTCTGTCAAAATCAGCACACAAAGTCGATTTGTTGGGAATATAATCCCTGATTGAATCTAGATAGCTTCTTTGTGATTGTGACGGTCAACCGAAACTTCGTAACTTTCTCTGACTGTTTGTTTTCTTGAGCCCTCTCAGCTTAACGACAATTCCCGAAGCTGGAACGTGCAATATGGGACTACACTTCATATCCTAGTCGTTTATTAGTAAACCAGTGTGCCACCGATGGTTTCTAACAGGTACAAAAGAGCTGTACAATGCTTCTGGGCTCAAGCACAGAATGAAGTTAGGACTCCGCTACTCCGTACCACCTTCAAACGGTATGTAAACTGCTTTGAGAAGAAAAAACACCACAAATGACCTTAACCCTCTTTTGGAGAGGTGATCACAAGAGTACAGCCAGTACAGCTGTTTACATGAACTCTGCTATCAAACGCTGGTTGGGCTATATATTAACCGGGGGTGATTTAATCAGCCACGAAGCCAAGTTATTGACCGGATACGAATCACACTAGAAATGGATGAGGTGCAGACTGCTAGTTATCAACAAATATGAAACAGCTGCACGATATCTTCCAACTTTTCATTAGGGACTGGCTTCGCTCGCTGGATGGTATTCCCGGTAATTATTAGTAATTAATTATTATCACTAATTGCTTCATTATTTATTACCGTTATCATTTATTACTATTTATTGGCGAAATGAGACCATTAAGGCACAGTTCCATGATTGGAATTAGGATAACAAATGTAAAGACAAATCTCTTGTCTCAGTGGATTGTGCTGAACAGCTTTATCGTTTCGGTCAGGATTAGACGTCACCTAGTTCCACGTTGCTTTACGTTTAAGGCAATGCATTATTCTACGGATTCCGATGCTGGATGTGCGCATTTATTTGAGGACTCAAAAATCTTCCCAGTGGGGCTTCACGCATGCTCAACACAACCATGGATGTTAACTTCTCTCAGGGCATGTCGACTTTGCTACATACTTGCCAAAACCTACTTCCTTTTGTTCAAACTTACCGTATCTCAAACTATACTGGTAAAAAAAAGATTCGTCACTATCAAAACCAAGCCATTTTGATAGGCATGCAAAAGTAAGATTGCTTCATGGATGCCTTGACTGAGACCAATATTATGACGTATGCGCGATATTCAGACCTTAAGTACGCGGTCCCAACAGGGACTCAACTCTTTCGGTAAAATTCCAGCGGCACAGATTTTTTACTGCAGTATCTTCTTGAGGAAGCAACTCCTCCGAAAAATGAAGAGGGTGCACTCTCTGATTGCTTCTCATCTGTTCTCAAAGCTGAACTGCCACCAGCAGTGTTGTTGATCAAGCATTTGAGGTTGAAAAGCTGAAGTACCACCCTTCAGTCAGCAGATACTCCTTTAGTGAAATCAACTTGTTTTCGCCGACAACTAAGCGCACAACACCATTTGTTGGAACGTATCTTAGGTGAAATGCGGTAACAAAGATGAGAAAGGACTCATGATAGTTTTCTGACCTATCAAGCTCCCGCAAATGGCCCTCGTTATCTTGTTATGTAAGGATGCATCTTCGCAATAAGTCATCGCGTTATACAGTACTTATTAGAGCTTGGTTGGTTGGAAAAATGTTTTATTCGGAATGACTTTAATGACCGGAGTGGGTAAACGAGGTACGGTTTCATCGGTTCACGCGAGTGTTTTTCTCAGTCGCCGAAATGCAAGGTTGTGGAACGTATCAACCAGTCCATATTTATCATCCCTTCTAAGAGGGAACGTCTTCATCATATTAGCAGGCTCAGGAGTGGTTTCTTTGAGGATATTACACTGCAATCGGTTTCTTTATTGGCTTTAAGAACGCAGATACACTTACATCTCCAAGGTACGGATTCATCACCTGATTTCCACAAATGAGCACTCCAACGTTTTACGAATTCACTTCTACTTGGCTCTTGTGTTGTTGTTGTGCACTAAGCTGGTTCTTCTTAGCAAGACCACTGAAATTTCGCGGCGTGTCGAATGCTAATCGTAGTGAGTCAACAGCATCGCTGTCACCTCAGTACCACAGGCATCGATTGTTGCGTGCTGGTAGCCAAAGCCTACTTTTACAGGACTGCCGCATATAACCAGGTGTGTTTATCCCTTCATTAGTCATCGTGATAACGGGACATCACCGACTGCCGGCTGTTAATCAGAAAACGTCATTGTGACACATTCTGCAAGCCTAGTTAATCAGTCTGGTGTAATACAGGCTTGTTGTATCCCAGCTCAACTGTTAAAGTCCGTAGTGAGTGGAGAACAGCCATACGCCATTGGAGTATATTAACGCTGTCGAAAGAATGTGCCTTGATAGGCTGCTAATGTTGGGCATAACTTGAGCAGGAAACTGACCTCTGGTTTATAACTAACTAACATTCTAAAAGTCAACATGGTTACATTAAAGACGAAAATTCCAACGGGAATATGGTGCCCGTACTATTTTCGTCATGAAAGCTTTCAACGCTGTGTTCAAAAAAGACGTGAGAACAAACGAAAGTAGCAAACAAGCAACAATGACTCAGCGTCGGCAAAAGCACCAACGTAGAGGTCAACCGATTTCGTTAGCTGGATTTCAAAAAAAATCAGCATTGTGGTACCCTCAGCGTAGTGGATCGTTGCAGACGATGACAGACGAAGGTTCCAGAAGATGGACGAATGTTTACGAGAGACCAAGTCACAATGACATAAATGGTAATTAACCGCCTAACCATTTTAAACTTGTAATGACAGTTGACCATATTGTATAAAAAATGTTTGGGCCAACTGGAAGGCTGTGAATTTGCAAAGAACTTACCACCGCCACAGCATCAGAGTTTAAGATCTCATAAGGTGATAAGACCGCCAAGTACGCAACGTTGGCCAGGACGTAGATCACTGTTACCAGGCTCAATGACAATACGATTACAATGGGTAGGTTTCTGAAACATAACAAGACCAAAGGACAAAAAAAGCGTGGGTTATTTTTGATCCATTTACGCAAACCTTGTGATATTTTTAGAGCGTTTGTAACACTTGTTCTCAACCAACTATGCTCTCAAGGTGCACGATGCAGAGGGAACTTAAAACCAACAAATTTTTGCTACATACTCACACCTAGACAGTAACCCAGCATAATAGCTATGGCAAGCTGTAGTGTGCCAGTGTTACCAACGTCAAATGCGTAAAGACCCCTTCACATAATAGGCAATATCATGTATGATTTGCTTCACAGGATTACTCTACTGTGTTCTATGAGACAGAGGAACAAAGAATCGTTGGCCAACTGCCGATAACGCTCTAGTTCTAGTTTTAGTAATACTAAATGAAATTCCTCTCCGATTGAAGATATGACGACGTGGCAGGTCACTCAGGCAATCTGAGAAAAACAAACACCGTGACTACTGGTGACAAACAAGAAGAGATGGAGGATTCACCACAAAACAGTGGGATGGCAACCTCACTAAAAATCAGGGAACATTTTGCGGAACGGCCTGGGTGGGAAAACACCAATAATCTAGTTATGAGGGCGAATATTTTAGGTCGATCCGTTTAGAAAATCAGAACTTGGGGTTAGATAGATTCAGTAAGTGATAAGCATGAAACAAAGCATGCATCTGAAAAAAATCGAAATTCGGTGGCATGGTTACCGGTTAGCTCGGGTAGCACTTTACTAAGATTGTCTACTCAGATATAATACTTCGATTCTAGTTTCCTGAAGCCTTCCAAGCCAGTTTAGCATTCTCATATGCGAAGAAATCCCGCATAACACTTTCCCTGACCGGCAGCTGTCCTGAACTGACCAATATGATCCATACGTGGACCATACCAAGACGTGGTCCAAAACTGACAGTCCATTTTTCTCAAACTATTTTGACTAGCATGAACGAACTGGGTATGCAAAAGACTGCTAAAAAAGGTTTCATGGCAATTGATGTTCACAAACTCAAGTGGATGTTTGAATCGACTGGAAAGAATATAACTTACTGTCCTGAGGATGCGGTATCTACTGATACTGATTTTAGTTTTTGGTGGACGGTGTAGGGGTTTTTGGTGAATTTTGTTCAAAGTTTGGGGAAGCGAATGAACCAGCTGAGTATTGGTGTCTCAAAGTACCTACCAGCGATGTAATTCATCCACGAACCATTGAACTGTTTAAGAGTGATGCACCATAAAGTACCTGCGAGAACCTCAAAAGAAATCTATCCACAATTCAAGAGGAAACGTGCCTGGTGCACAACCTAGCAATTTTGATGTAAAACTTTGTAGACGGATTGCACTGAATCACTACATGCTTTGTTTCTATCTAGGTCAGTTCAAACGAAGTAAGTAACAAGGAAAATTCTTATCTGAGTCGTTTCCATACGAATTACCCACAAATGAACACTAGATGCTCGCTTAATAATGGGGAAACGGTGCCGTCAAAATACCATCCCATTCCGCCTCCGAATTCGTTTTCTTCAATCTGATAACCGAACGGCAATGATTATTATACGGTATTATAGGGTACTTCTAGAGGAACAGCGCATATGCTTTCTTCATAATAACCCCGTTTTGGGTAACCGTTTTTTTTGGGTGTCCTTCCTTTATAAACACTGTGACCACAGCCGGAATGATTACTTCACCAGTTTTGGATGCAACTGATTTTTATGACTGAAAGTATTTTCAGGGGACATACCCAACGTAGATCTCTGGACTATTGCGGTTTTTGTCAGTTTCCTGAGGACACATTGGGTGCAACATGTGGAAAATGGATTGACTTGTGATGAAACTTACTGACGATTGCTATCGGATGACAAAGCAGCGATTTGCGTAAATATCAGCTACAAGACACCCACGATACCAACTTGTCGACGACGACCCCCCAGGTAGTTTATCAGACTGAGGAGTCACCACCTGGCCACTGCCCCGCTACGGAGGATACACCGGCTTAGGCTCTGGTCTTTTTGACGGCGAACTCTGTTGTTAATTTGAGTATCCAGCAGGCACTATCATCACGGAGACCCCATCCATGAAGACGGACAACATCAACAATGCCTAAACACTTCGTAATCTCTTTCACATCCTTCTTTCAGGTTATGCGTTGTTCAACTCGAGGTTTGCTTCACTCTGAAGGAGGCACAGAGAACAACAATCGTCGTGGCAGGCAATTTTTCGGAATGGGCAGCACTTGGCCTCAGCAGGTATCATACTGACCTTCAAAATATTCAAGGAACAAGTGTATAGTCGTATTGTTCAAAATAGCACTCGAACGTACAGAACCAATTAGTGATTACAGCCTCAGCCTCATTTAACCACGCAAAAAAACAAAGTTATTCAGTTCTGCTCATATTCACATCGCTCTCGATTGAACGATCATCCACTTGTTCTGGTGTAATTATTCTGGTGGGTCCACATGAAGGGGAAGCAGTAGACTCGATCCTTCCATGCAATGTAAGAAATTGATGGATACAGCAGGGTCCCGGACACATCGAATTTGGGCACTCGACACAGAAAGCTTATCTACCGAACGAGCCCTACGAACCGCAAAAATCCCTCATGCACAAGTGCCGTGATACAATCTGACGTCCAACAAGCGGTTGCAATTAACATATAATATCATTTCTTGAAGGCACCAAAGACAATTAATCGCATCAACTTTATGCAATCTTTGAACAAACCTATAAGGTTCATAAGAACTGAGATTTTCTCCTCTCGGAGACTGGTGATTCAAACGATACGGTTAGGGTAAAACTCACCGAGCTGGATTCTTCATTTCCCCAGTGAGAAAATTCAGGTAGTTCCTATGCAAAGGAAGGATAAAAATAATTTGAGGCAAAACGGAGCAGAAAGACGGTACTCCTACCTCAGTTAGTGTTTCTAGGATGCATAAGCAATCAACAGATATTAAGCAAAGTGCATTTATATTTGGAAGGAAACCAAACCCAAAGGTGTGATTAAGTATAAAAGCCGACGCAGAACACAAAATGATGTACTACAGCGACTCCATGAAAAGCAAAATAGAACTAAATCTAATTGATGGAATCGGGACAAATGTTAACCCACTAATTCATCCTCGTTTTTAGGGTGCAGCATACATCTCTGACGTGAATTGGCATTTCTGGAGTTCGTGAGAAAAAAGGTCAACAGACATTTGTAACGATTATCAGGTAGCTTTTGAGGCTACCATTTAAAAATAGTACTCGGCATAAGTTCTGACTTTGAATTTGTCAGTGTGATTGGAGCTTCATCACAGAGAATAGGCTGACCTGCTAATTTAATGCACCGACCCACGTAAGCGCATAAGAGATTGGGAATAGTACTATTCGTATCTTCGCCGGCTGCTCATGATAATTCGAAGTAACGACGGTAACCGTGTTGGCCACGACCCGTGTGGAAACCTACTAGCGATTACCAACTGCACATCATAATCATCATCAGCTGTAAGAGCCGCATACATGTCGTACAGTGGTTGTAGATAACAGAATTCCGTCCATAGATGATCTGGGTAGGTAGCTGCGCGTTGGAGGCGAAAGCGGATAAACTGGTGCGTAAGTAGAGGTCTAAGTGGGGGGTTAGGAAGGAATCTATGCATTGAAGGCAGTGGCTTGGATGCATGAGCGCCACTGAGGGCGCGGCTGAGCCATGTCTGACAATGTTTCCAACCATTGATGTGGCCCCCCTCCAGGTCCCTATCAGGACAGACGGCAATGAGCGGCGCAGCTGAGTTTTCTAGCAATGGTTTTCACAATTCGCAGCTAAGTCATTGGTTGACCTCTCCTGGTTCGTCTCCATTCTTCGCGTGGTTCTGCGAAAACAACCGTTTGAGGAAGTCGGTTGACTGGCATATGGAGCACGTGGTCAAGCCAGTGCAATGATGTTGGCACAGAAAGTAGACCGAGTACAGCAACTTGTACCACAATCATTCTAAAGTAACCCCGGGTTCGTCTACTCAGGGAGAGATGAGACACTTCTTTCGGATATCGCTAGCACTGAAAACTGCCGAATGAAGCGGAGTACTAGATCATTTCGCAGTACAACGTCGACTACTGGGTATAAACGTAACATCTTGTCAGAAAATCACTAGAAAAGAAATGCGATCGCGTACTTAATATGCTCTATTTCACAGTTATGGTGGCACGACGATGGACAGAAAGTAACAACTTGCCAGTGCGCTGTATGTATTTACAGACTGACAAAAATGTTTACCCCTACTAGGCGTCGAAGTCCACAGGTGCAACAACAATACACACAATTAAGTCCCGTCACAAGCGGTTTCAGATGGCCAGGTCACGTTCAAGATTTTGACTATGCCCTGGTTCGTGCACTCAACGTGCTTTGGTGTGCAGATCAAGTGCTACAACAGGCGTGTCAACTGACTCGATTGGCGCAACCATCAAACCGTCACTGATTCTTCACCTATCCTTTACCAAGGATATTTCAAGCAGTAGTGAACACATTTGAGATGTTCCAAAATCTGCAAACACATCGGTTTATGGCTTAACCATCCCCACAAATGATAACCACGAGACATCTGACAGGTTTTTAAACCCCTGGTACCCGAAGACATGATCGCACTTATCAACACCTCTAGGAATATCCATGAAATATTTCAGTTAAAGCGGGCTGATAGTTCAAGACAGCTCGTCAATAAATGAACAGTGAACTATTCGCGAGTGCGCCACGAATGGCCGAATGCCGGGCACAGAATCTCATATTGAGCACCAATATCGCCGACCACACCTCTCTATGTCTCCACATTACCACAAACAAGCCCTCCTCATTCGAAATGTTATGCATAAATTCAACGTTCAAAGCAACACAAACGGCAGACACAGATAAGCTTGCAACTTCGTAATTGAAAAATGGGGGACCCTAGCCACAATACGCTGGCAATGTAAAAATCGAGTTACAGGAAAATACCAGCCAACTGAGATATCGCTGCCGTAATTTCCAAGAATACCTAATGCTGCAATTGCCATCAACATCCGTCAGTTGAAACAACATCAGTATGTTGTTGCTGTGAAAGAACAATGTGTACGCAACGTGCTCACCAATTATACCTTGTCGTCCAGGTTTAATACTGAGTCACTTTGAACAGTTCGGCAGCTTACTTTTGTATACTGTAACACAATATAGGGCCACGTAACTGCCTCACAACTCACGTAAAACGCAGCGATTTCCTCAGGCTTAGTCAACACTGGTTTCACAATCAGCAGGTACACTGCATAAATCTGCTGGTCGCCCGTAGGTGGCTAACAAAAGCAGTTGACAATGGTAAAGACTTCCAAACAGTATTTCTTGATTTTTCAAGGGCAGTTGACAGATTCAAATATGTTTTCTGTCCAAGCAGTATAGAAGGCAGTAATAAAATTGAATGCGTCTTGCCCTTTAGGTACTGAACGAAGTCTCGAACGTGTGAGTGCTCACAGCATACTAAAAGACCTACGACTGGTGCACCCGTCATTACACCGCATCGCAGATACAAAACCTTGGTGTGATAACATATAGTCAGAAAATTCAAGCAGATAATACAAAACGACACAGGTGTTTGCTCCAAAAGAGGATCCTAACGAAGTTGCCATGAATGATTTCAAAAGTCAAATTATGCCATCTTGATGCAGAGTTCAAAGTATAGCGTGGATACAAATGTGCTCCACCACATACGGCTTGGAAGGGACCTACAGAAGGGACTGACAGAGTTTCCTCACTCAGAATATGTCATCCGAGCATAACGTCATGATTTCTGAATAATCAAAAATTATTATAAGCTTCCAAAAGGATGATTTTGTGGTGGGGTGAAAGAAATTTTCGAGCTTGAATCATACACCATCAGTGTAACGGTGGATACTACTGAGGAGGCATGTGCGTGGTATGTGGTTTATCGCAAATAGGCTTCGATCTAATGGAAGGTGGGATTTATTACGGAGTTTGTGGAATTGCTTTGTGGCATTCGTTTAAATTGGCCAATGAATATCCAGTAAAGTTCAGGAAGACAGATATGCAGTTTTTCAAAAACAATACGCATTGGAGAGTTTTGCCTTCCAGTCCAGTAGTCTGTAACTGTTCGGCTGGTGTTTTTCAGTAAACATATTCGCGGCAAAGAGCTTCTTCCTTTCACCGGTAAGATCGTAGTGACCTTTCTTCAGTGCGGAAACCTATCAGCGTATCTTATTCAACAGGTAAATGCGTGTAGTTTTTCAATACAACACAATTACGCGGTAATATGTTGAAATTAACACACCAATTCTGCAATACCAACCGCAGAAAGCACTTTGTAGCAACTGACCTATAGAATATGTTGACGGCCGGACCCATGCATATCTTTCCCATTAAGTATTTCAAATCATTACATGCTCACATTTGATGGCACCACTATGAGTTGCCCTGATATTTACATTGTCAAGAAACTGGTTAGCTAATAAGACTGACTAACAGCTTGGATTGAAATCAGCCAGAACCTAAACGTTCGGATCCCGGTTTTACGGATACTGAGTCTTTTTTTTGTTGAGCCACCAAGCCCAACAAATTTCGTCTAATCGGTTAAACCGGTAAGATTGACAGCGTTTTGCAAGCACACTCTGGCAGTAGCTAACAGTAACACCGCTATCTGTCAGTAATTCGCTTGCAGTTGGCGGATAGTGGAATTCAGGGTGTCGTTTTCGTGTCGAAGGTTTGGATTACATGGAACCAAACCATGACCACCACACGCAGATAAGAGCCGTTTACTGATGTCGCTTCAGCGAGACAAGATCAAACACTTCCACGAGCGAACACATTTTTAAACCCGACCTAACACTGTGCGTTTCAAAATCCCAGGGGTGAAGTAACGAAGTCTTAATTAGTGGCCTACAAAAGCAGCTTAATCATCCGAGTACACAACCCGGTCATTAATTTGAGGCTGTATTTGGCTGGCGTATGAGCTAATATAACAGGTGGGTTATGTTGAATATTTTTACGACAAAATACGTGACACGTTCATAAGGTGATCGCACATAGTTCGCACATGGTTTGACTGCTATTCAACCGAAAATCGGTTCGATACGGTGACTGGGCATAGTTCTCAAAGCGCCAATTCTGTCGATTCACCATAGCCTTGTAGTCTATGTGAGATCAAATCTAATAAAAGTATTAGGACGACGTTACACAAGAGTCTTGATAAATGAAACGCCTAGACCCAAAGTCCTTCCAAACTACGAGCGACAGCAAATTGCTATGCAACTTGGCAGCTTGTAAGGCAGCCGATGATAAAGACGACTGGCACCTTTTAGCCCTGCGCCTTGTTTTGCATGTGGTTTCAGTGTTTTTCTTATGATTAAAAACAGGAAAGCTCCTAGGTTTTTGAAACAGATTATTTTTAACCAAGACTGATACAAACAGTCAAACGTTAGAACGCCTTTCAAGGAAAATCCTGAGTCAGAGGTTTTACACCGAACATCGAAACCATAAAGACATGAAGAAACAGCACCGGTCCGTTCTATTTTCTCATAAGTAGCCATGGTCAGTCTGCTTCTATCCTAGTAATAAACACACGTTTCGCTTATATGACCGTCCAAAAAACAATAAAATACGGCATCTATAAAATATTCAGCACACTCACCAAGCAGCATAGGACCAGAATCCTTGATAAAAAGCGCTTGCTAGTGCCCCCGGAGAAGTCGCACTGTTTTCAAACGAGTCTCTGAAGCTTTCGACGTTGCCTTTAGCGAGATAAGCAAATCCGAATCCGATGACAAGTAGTAATGCAAAAACCTTTCCGACTGTGAAAACCACAGACAGTTTTGTGGCCCATGTGACTCGGTAGCAGTTGATGAAGCAAAGTGTTACTAAAGGTACTAGTAAAAAGTATAGGAAATACAAACATACGTAGGACTAAAATTGCCACCAACTGAACCGCAGAGATCGGCACATCGCACGTGGGGAAAAAAGGCTTCAAAATGTAGTTGGCTGCTACCATAGAGTTGACAGCGCAAGCAACAGTCCCAATCACGAAGAAAGTGATCCAGAGGGCCATGAAAGCCAAGAACGGACCAAACGTTTCGAGAATATATATGTATTCACCCCCGGATCGTGGGAGGGTGACACCAAGTTCTGCGTATACAATAGCGCCAAGTGCGCTGAATAATCCAGTGACGATCCACATGATAAACGAGAGGCCAACAGAATTTGTGATGCGCAAAACTCCAACAGGCGACAGGAAAATGCCTGAACCAACAATTATTCCGACCACTATTCCAATGCCCTTTAGGATGCCAATATCCTTTTTCAGCTCTATTTTTTGGACTCCTGCCTTCTTTTTCTTCGACCCGAAAACCATGTTTGTCCGCTGTGGCAAAGTCCGAATACAATGCACGACAAGAAAGCAAAAGTATTTAAAATACCGGTCTGGGGTGCCTTGAGGTTTAAATTAGTATGGTATAGTAAAACAAGGCTCCTAGTTCGATGAACAAGTATTATCTTAACATTTTAGTGTTGTGCTGGTAAATGGCTGTGGGTTTTACGTTACAGCCACACTAAAGTGATGTTTACTCTCATCCACATCAGTTCGGCATCGCACACTTAAAAATTTCCCCCATTTTGAAGTTTAATCAAGTACAGAAGATTCACTGGAACAGAATAGAAGGGCGTGACTTGGAAGCAAAAGTCTATGTTGCTCCATATGCTCCATATGTTACTCCGTCAGTTTTGTGAATTACTTCTTTCATCTTCGATTCAAATGCACGTTGCCGAGGGCTTTAACCACTTAAGTGTATTCCAAGGGACATCAGGCCAACGGAAGTGTATTCATGAGTAGCTATATGGAGACCCGCAGACCTGGAATCGTGGTTGTCTTGCCCGGCTTTAGCTGACTGGTGGATACCAAAATCAAGAGAGGGGCTGCCCAATATTTTCTTGGCGGGGCTATTTGAATTGGTCGGTTTCAACACATCAAAATCGGATGAGACTTTTATAGCCCTGGTCCTGTGCGTGGATGTGTAGTACTGCGAAGTGTTTCGGACGAGGACTCAATAAGTGACAACGAATCTGTTGCAAAGTCAGAGATACTGGGGAAGAAGAGGTCGAAGCGAAATGATCAATATGGTGGGAGAACTTGGAGAAGGGAATAGACGAATTTGGCGACGTCATCTGTGAAATTTTCTGATGATGCTTTGTAGCACTGAAGCCAAAGTACATGTGGTTTAACAACGTACTCTGGCAGAGGCTGGCTAAAATTGTAGAGCGAGCCAAGTGTAGCTTGCGATAATCAGTGAATGCGAAGGGAGGGCGGGTCGGACCGATCACTTTCGTCGCCTTCATGTGGAAACAGAGCGACTAAATAATGGTACAGTACGGAGAGAATGAAGGTGGTGCCCAGATAACCAGAATGTGCCAATGGAGAATGAGTCGGGTCAGTGGATCCATATATACTGGCTTCTCCTTGGTGCGATTGACAGACTTATTTCTCTCTTACTAAAGGGGCGTTTAACACAACCTGCCGGATATCTGGGAAACTTTGTCATGTTTCTGAACCGTCACGTTGGGGATCTGAGTAATTGGAGGGCAAAAGGGAAGCCTATGGGCTGGTAGAAACAGGGAGGAAATATATTTTCTGTCTAATCCTTGATGAATCACGCTGAAGACCTCAGATGGATTTTTGAAGGAGCCAGAAAATTGGATTTTGGATGTCCCACCGTTGGGAAAACCTGAAAACCTTCGGTAGATGTGGATCCGGTGCGGCAACGCATGGCAGAAGGGCAAGACCGAAAAGGCGATGGACTTAAATGCACCTTAGTCGATGAAGGGCGCTCATACCAGATGGGTGATATAAAGATATAATGTGAAGCCTTCTTATTACGAAAAATAAATTGCTCTTAATGGGCTTGCTTGGAGGTGCTGTTCCCACCTAAGTTGTAGCGTGGAGCTGATGCAGCTGATTGCACCTCGGGATCGGGTGGGCCATTTCTCAAGGGAGGTGGTTGATGGAAATGATGTGTAAATAAGAATACGATCCGTTCTCCCTCTAAGAAAGCTTGATCCGATGGTACAGAACCAGCTCATCCTCTAGGCTATTCAGCGGACGGCACCAAGTTTATGCCGAGCAGCTAAACGCTGTGACAAACACTACCCATGAGGATTATGAAAGCTCACTGACAGTACATGACCGGTTGTATTCTTTTGGAACTCATGAGGTAACTGCATTCCACAGGCTCCTGTCAATCCAACGTTCTACTTGGACTCAAATTACCCGGGATTGGAGAGGGGCACACTCACTCGCAGTAGAATTTGTTTTTGACGGGAGCGTCATTTGGAACCAAGTTGAGCTCTCGTTCAGGTTCATCTTAATTCCAGGTGAATCCCTCACCAAAGCCAAATTTGTAAGTAAGTAAGCGTATATTGCTAACTTTTGCAATTAGGGTTCAGGTGGAACATGAGGATGACGGAAACTAGGGGACTTTGCCTACCAGGCGAGCTACAAGAGGAACGAAACCGGTCGTCATCTGTCGAAAAATAATTTCAAAAACTAGTTAGCAGTGCATTACGTCCATACATCTCATGGTGATTGTTCAAACATGGTATAAACTGAAGAAAGATACAGCCCGGCATCTCAAATTCTGTCGTTCAACAACATAGGCGAGAGGTTCAAAGGGATTTCAGTGGAGGCCTCCGTCAAACCCAAATTAGTAAGCAAACGGGCATATTTCAGAGAAATAGTGATCCGTGGTCCTACGAAGCAGCCCGGTTTTAGATTCGGAAACTGGGCCCTGTTATTAGCTTCTCTCCTGGTGACCTTTACTTGTATCTAGTGATTACGTTATGGTAAGCTATTTTATTGCTTCAGGGAAGAACAGTAATGGAAGAAAAATAATTCTCAGCATGCTAGCAGCTCAGACGTGTAGAGGCAGCAACAAACCGCTTGGATTATAGCTCTTCTGGAATGGTGTAGATGATCAAAGTTTAGCTTGCCCATGACTAAAAGTTAACATGGTCTCATCGAGTTTGTGAAATTACTATATTCCGGACTTTGCTACCAACGCTTGACAGAGAATGTCGTTGATATCTTTGCTCTGTTGGCCCATGTTGTTTCAAGGAAGAGAGCGGAAACAAAGTTGTACTAGTAAAACGTTGCACGTGAAGTAGAAAAAGCCATATGATCTATAGACTGCTCAAGCAACACATTGTAAGCATTCAACTTAAAAGGGTTCTGGTGAAAGTGTATTGCAAAAAATTGCACAGTTGTATTTTTAAATCCCATGGGGCATTCAAGACGGCATTCAAAACTTAACACTACCATGTGCATGTGTGACCCACGTGTACATAGAGCGGCTCGCCGGTAAGCGAATAACATCAGACATTTCCGTGCAGCTCAAGGTTGTATCTATAGACTGCTCAAGCAACACATTGTAAGCATTCAACTTAAAAGGGTTCTGGTGAAAGTGTATTGCAAAAAATTGCACAGTTGTATTTTTAAATCCCATGGGGCATTCAAGACGGCATTCAAAACTTAACACTACCATGTGCATGTGTAACCCACGTGTACGTAGAGCGGCTCGCCGGTAAGCGAATAACATCAGACATTTCCGTGCAGCTTCAAGGTTGTTAATGAGCGCAATTACAATATAGCTACATCCAAATGCTCACGTTCATGTCCTTACATATTAATTAACCAGATGGGATCAGAGGTAAAATTATAATTTAAAACACAACAAGCCTCCAAGTTTTGAACGTGGCATAACCCGGTGCTCTTGCTGAAGTCATTCATAATAGGTAGTGCCTGTAAAGTACACCGGAAGCCATGCAGCGCCAGAAGACAGTATGGAGAAACGACTACAAAGAAAAGATGCTGTGAGTTTAGTGGACACCTTTGATTCAAAAGCGAACGTGATAAATTCGGGAAACGGACACCGGGTCGATTAATAACAAAGTTGTTATAGCTGCAGTTTTTAGCTGGGAGTGGCAAAGTTGCGCGCGCTGTGCAGTGGGCACTTCACATTGAGACAAAATGTCGACTAGTATAGTCGCGCAAGATGCAGTACAAAAGTGATGCAATAGTAGGGCTACCTGAGAAGCCTACTGGACAGCGCACTCATTTACCATTCACAGGATTTGCGTGCAACCCTCAGGTAACTAGCATTTCCGTCGGAGCAGATGCTTGAAAGTGAGCGGCAGGTGAGAACAGTCAGGCGATAAAATCTCAACATAAGTGACCAGAGTGAAAGTACACCTTATAAGCCGCGATCAAATATTCAAGGAAGGAGCGGAAATTAAGCAACGCCGCGTTATAATAGATAGGCGTGATTTACTCTACTTATGAGTGGTCAAAAGCACATTTAACCACCGATTCACTAGTCGTCACGGGGGACGACGTAAAATATACGGGCAGTTTAGCGAATCCTCGTCGGTGTCTCGGCTTACTTTCATAGGGCTAGGACTTAGAATCTTTCTTCTTATGCTAAGAATCTTGCGTTGGTCAGTTTGGAGGACAGGGACTTGAGATGACTATTAGCCTACATGTTTAGTAAAACGTGACTTGGATCAAGAGGCGGGACTAGGGACTTTGAATGGGCAGAAATAGGAAAGTGCAGACTCAGTACCATACGTGTGAAACCCACACGCATGAACTTGTTGGGTTCAGAGCACTACTGCCCGTCCCATTTGCCCTCATTTTCCTTCACTGCGACCTCACTTCGAATACTGCATGCAGGCAGAGACCCCCAGGGAGGGACCCCAAATGGAGCTTTATATACCTGCGCCGAATTTCCAAATACAGGCCGTCGAGGCTTTTTTCACTGGTAGTGTGCGAGGGCCATTGATTATTAGTGCGGAAGCTGCTTGTGTATGTGTTACTGCTTGTATCGCTGACAGTACATAAGCCAACCAATATTTTGATTGGTTTCGTTAGGACAGCCTTCTCAACTGCTGCTAGATGTCCCTGATGCGATCATCCCTGTGATTGAGGGATGAAATTCCACTCTACCTACTCTATGACTCTCGGCATCGCACCTCAAATTGGAAGCAGGTCTGTAGTTCAGTATAAGAACTATTCCTCTGTGGCGATCAGCACTGCAGACTTCTAATTGCTGAATTTAACTAGGATGTTCCTGATGAATCTGATGCCGTCTCCTTCATAAAGGGTAACGGATACTGCCCCGATGATTCAAAGCATGGAAAATGATCGGGAAATTTCTTTCTGGCGAGAAAGCAATTGCGGGTTTGCCAGGTTTCATTCGACGAGGCGCCTGCACACTCTTAAGAATGCTTAATTACCTAATTATCTGATTGATATGAAGCGCTGTTACTCCAAACCGACTTTGGGTCAGCATCTCGAACTCATCATCTTTGGGGAAGCCAAATTTTTCAGGTTCTATTTACGATGCCTACTCCAAGGAAGTTATACTAGAAGTTGTTGTTCAGTTGCATCTACAGGCCGTTAGAAGCAAATATATTATCAAGTAATTGTGTACTAGATAAGTCAGTCAGTTCCATCATTAAATGTTTGATTTTCAAGATTAACCCTCCATTCTTGGTGGCTTTAATTCGGACCAAGCCCGTTGAGAAAGCTCAGGACGCTCTCGCCGTCAATACAATTATCAGATATTAAACCTTGAAAACATCTAAATGCTTCTCAGTGCGGCGGGATAATGTCACCATAGCGTGAGATGGTCACGTAAAGCAGCTACTTTCCTTGGTGTGATGAACTGCCTGCCATTTTGGTTAAAATAGTCCTACCTTCCACCACCACCTGAGAATCTGCAGTAAGTTATATCGCCCTTGATTGTTTCTGAGCAAAACATGTATTACTTAAATGGGAAATAACGCTTGCGGCCCTGTAGGCCGTGTGGCTGCAGGCGACGCAACATCCAAAAACTTAAAATTATCTCCGTCGCTAGCCGAAAATAATTTTTGCAGAATTTGCGTGAAGTATTTGGCTAGTTTGAGACCAAGTTTCCTTCACGGAAGTTCACCAACCCATATTCTAAAGGTTCTCAGGCCTCATTAGCAAATTATACTTCCACAGACCTGTTCATGTTCTGGCGAGGGATTTCTGTCGCAAAAATGTGTCAAGTATGAACGACCAACAGCGGTTCGCAGTTTAACGCTAGAGCTATCAGGAATTTTGCAATGGAAGTGAAGTTGGATAACTTCATGATGATTCTCAACAGTTCCGCTGAAGAAAGGAGGTGAAGCGTTTGTTGCCCCAAAGCCTACTTGGTCCTTCTTGCACCTACATTTTAGTGGCAGGATCAATAATAATAATAATGTTTATTCCCAAATTGTGGGTGGCATACCCTCTGAAATGATCATAAGTTAACAGTCAGAATTAAGCATGGCTAGGGGTTTACGAGTAGTGGGGATTGCCCGATTAGAGGTCGGTGTCATTAAGAAATATCCGCTGAAATAATAATAATAGGTTTCTTCCCCAACATGCAGGGAAATACATGCCTGAGGTCCGACTTGTTTCAAGGCAGTCGGCTGACATGAATTAAAACTGAAACCCATTACTGGCCACGAGTGACCTTGGGCGGTTGGTTAAATGGCCGGATGCACATTGAGCAAAAGCGGAGATGGAGATGGAACAATTTGAATTGGAACAAATGGCAAGTCTTGTCTCAAAAATGTGGTTTAATCTGCAACTAAACAGACTCACTGGTTGCACTGTCGTATGGAAGCCAGGTGCAAGGGATATGTTGGATAAGGCATGGTGCTAATGAATAGGGCCAACCGAAAGCCGTATACGGAATGAACTTGTGGGAAAGACAAGCCGAAATTGTAGCGGAAAACAAGCTGGCGACCCATTACTGGCCACGAGTGACCTTGGGCGGTTGGTTAAATGGCCGGATGCACATTGAGCAAAAGCGGAGATGGAGATGGAACAATTTGAATTGGGAGCAAATGGCAAGTCTTGTCTCAAAAATGTGGTTTAATCTGCAACTAAACAGACTCACTGGTTGCACTGTCGTATGGAAGCCAGGTGCAAGGGATATGTTGGATAAGGCATGGTGCTAATGAATAGGGCCAACCGAAAGCCGTATACGGAATGAACTTGTGGGAAAGACAAGCCGAAATTGTAGCAGAAAACCAAGCTGGCGAAATTTGAGCGAAAACTCATCGGGTACGAAAGAACTCGTCCCAGAGACAGTTGGGGCAAGATGAAAAATTTGCTCGAAGTTGCATTTACAGGCTTGAGTGAGCGAGGAGCTGCGATCGAGATTCTGAAGAACATGGTTGTGGTAGTGCCATCACACCGGTGTGACAGTGACATGCTGTCAATGCACTGACATGATTCGGTTTATGGACAGCCCCGTAACGGTCGTCAAGGCTGCCTCGATCGGAGAGAGGATGCGCATTTCCGTAGCAACTGGATCTGGGTTGGGCGAGGAACTTGATGCAGGGTCAGGCGAACGCAAGGTCACGGATACTTTCCCTTTCGTTGGATGACCATGTGAGTGTAAGCCGGGGACCAACCAGTTTGCATGAATGACAGTTTTACAGGGCGTTTGGGCAACTGCAGTCGAAGCTTGAAGCATGGGAAGAGGGACGATGAGAAAGGAATAGAATGAAAGCTGTAGCGTGCGGCGAGTGTCAGAAGGCATAAGATACAACGGCGTCGATAGAAAAAATCATAAAGGGGATAACAGAATGCTTAATGGATCCAGAAAAGGCGAATTTGCTTGCTGATTCGGAAACCAAGTACCAGTTTGTCCAGAGTAGGTGCCTAGGTTAGGGAGGTAAAAACTTTGTCTTCGAGGTGTCTAGCAGGGAAGCTAGCTGTTAACCTAGTTGACACGGGCCCCGTTGTGCAAAAAGGGGTTAATGCGAGCAGTGACAGTAGACAAGTAAAAAGCAGACAGGCGTCAGGTTTCCATATAATGGATAAGAATCGTAGCTTAGCTGATATCTACCACGTCAACCTAACAGGAAAGTAAAATTAAGGATCACCAGTCGCGCAGCCCCTGCCGTTAACTCCAGAAAACGAGTGGTGCACGGCAAAAATAGCCGATGAGTGCTAGCTGCGACTGCTTGCAGTCAGGAAATAATAAGTTATTTGCATTTTGTGCCTATGATTGTTCTTGATGGCTTGGGAATCAATCCAAAAGTATTCACTGGCTTTGTGCTCAAAATATATATTGACACATTGTCGATACTATGGTGCTATGGTTTATCGTTTTGCACTTGTCGTATTGATGGGCTATATTTTAGGGTACAGAACAATCCGTTCCCAATTTTGTGTAGCGTCGAATACCAAAGGAAAGCAAGCACAAGAAAGGGCTTAGCCCTGGTTGATTTCAAAATTATTTATGCATTTGTGTGAATCAATCTGAATGCCTTGCGTCGCCTTTCATGAAATAATTTGCTCTGATTGGTGGAAACCGCTAGTTGTAGCGCAACACAACGCCAAAGGTGAATTACCCCGGCTAGGTTGACCTGGAAAATAAGTCTAATGTAGATTGTACAGGACTCATCAAAGCGCATGGTATGCACGCATCCAGTCACAATCTTCCGGCTGCCTTCCACCTTCAAGGAAAGCTGAGAGACCATGTTAATGGGCGTCTGATCGCCCACCTTGACAATTCCTTTGGACGCTCATTGCTTAGCTGTTGCTCCAACCTGGTGATATGCTCACGTGGTTCCTCTGTGTTTAGTGCTTACAGAGGTGGAGGCTCTCAAGGTTTGGGGTTTTTATCGTACGAGTCGATGAAGTCGCTCGTCCTTCACCATTTGTTTTGGAAAGGGGTTTTGGCTCCAATGAGTTTCGTGATATGAAACCTACTTGATCAGAATGACCATCTTCTGGCCGGTTGCTTGGTGTCTTCAAAGGTTTTAGCGTCTTCGAGTAGGAAACAATCCTGACCACGCGCATGATGCTTTAGATGAGGTAGTACATTACAAGGATAAAATATTCAAGTTCAGCAAACCATATCTAAACAGCATTATTGACTATGGCCAAATATCTTGTTTCCGCTTCACTGCTACGTAACACTGATTGTCGGCCTTAGAGTTGTGCGATGCTGTCATTTCGAATCCACAATCTGAAGATGTGGACCAAAGTGATGTCGAATGTAGTGAGAAAATTGGAGTGATCCGCAGACCCAAATCAAACTGTGCTTCGTTCTATGGTGCTCGAACAAGAGCCCCGAATTCGAGCCCAGGTGCTACAATGCCTAAACCATGCCGACCCTTGTGGCCATGTTTGTACCCAGGAATCTTACCATCATCTGTGAAAGTTTTTTAAGACAGGAACGTCTTTGCTATTTAGTAGGAAAGATGCCTGTTACCTTGCAACTCCCGGATTACTCGAAGAGAGCTGTAGTAGTTTGGAGAATGAATTATCTCGCGGAGGATGGCCATGGAAGAGCTCTCTCTGTCCCAATGACTCGAATACTTGACTCGCATAGCCTGTGGTTGTTCATAATGAACTACTCGTTTTCCGTAGCAAGAGCCTTCTGGCAGCATTTTATAGCTCCTGGCCTTCTGGTAGGTTTTCAGTAACCGCATCCTAAGGCATTAACATTTAGGTAAGAATTGATAACTGCTACATACCGATGCCGTCCAAGTCACAGTACCTGCCTTCATATAACAATGGTTACACTTGCCGGAAACGTATTCCACTTCATTACAAATTGAAACTAGGGTTGCAGTCTTTTAAACGATATGGAAGCCGACTATGGATAGTGACGTTTGAAGAACCACCTAAGGCTCTAACCTTGCCCATTGCATGCATGTTACACCATAAATTGAATGACTATGTTCTAGTATTCTTCTTAGCCAATTATTTCACCTTCCCTAACCACGGTAACCACAGTACACTTAAACCTTCTTACTATTCATTGTGATTGCCGACTTGAGTGCGTTGAGAAGACGCTTTGTATGAAGATAGCTTTATCTCGGGTTAGTTTAAGTTTAACACACCATTTGCAGCTTAAACCTAACCGTAACAATAAAAGCGTTTACACATTAAGTTAAGTCGCTGCTGAGAAATTGGACAGATTCTTCAATTTCCCCGTGGAAACTCGGGATCATTATCGTCATAGCGCTTTCATCACAATTTCATGCCACTGGTATGTGCCAAGCAGAAGTCTTGAAGGTTCTTAAATATACCACCGGAATGAGCAAGAATGGATGTCGTCCAGAACATGAGACCTTCCGGAACGCTACTGGGTACTCAAAGTATGCGGCACTATTTTTTAGTGTCTTTCCACGGAAATGCTTTTAGAGACTGAATACTCGAAGCCCGGTGAGGTTATCACCATGGCTCCAGCGTGCAAACAGATGGCGTGAAACTGAAAAATTTTGGCTACTTTCTGAAACCCTTCTCTTGCCATGCAACCGCAATTCCATTCACAAAAACACAATAAATTTCGTTTTTATCAATTTTTTGGCACTGAGGAAAGTGCACATGAACAGTTCACACAGCTTGACCCACCACAACAAATACCATCCTCAAGGTAAGCAGATAAAACACAACAAAGACAACAAAATTCTCATCTCTGAGTGTCTATCCATCCTCGAAGATTGCAAAAACGACACGAGAATATTTAGTAGCAGCCATTTGCTTGCTGTCTCACCTGTCTCAAAATCACTGGAAGTCTTCGCATTCGTACACCACCAACGGAACCACATTCATCATCCTAACGGGGAGGCGCAAAATCCAGAATTTGTTTGTGTCTGACCTTCCAAATTCTGACTCAGGGCCAGTAAATCAGTTCAACTTAAGAGTTCTGTTTCCTTCTACCCTATTTTGCCAGTATTAGGAGGTTTTCACCATTTTCCTGATTATTCTCCTTAGACACCCGTACCATGGCCAACCAGGCTGCGATTGTCTAATTTCAGGCATACAGTATAGTTCAAAATGCCGCATCTCTATGAGTTTGCAACCACCAACAGAAAATGCCGAAAACAGACACTGATGCCATTTAAATTGTTTGATTACTTTTGAAAATCCTCAGTATCCCCTAGCTAACGCGTCCCGATGCAAGTTAGTAGCCAGCAAACTAATATCTGTGAGCCAAAAAGTGCGGGGCACCTTAGTAAAAACATTTTATTCAAGCCTCAAAATCGTAAATGACTGTGGCCAGACGTACTAAAGCCGGTTTGCCGTCGTCACTACGAAATTGGATGGCTGCCTCCAATGGGACACCAAAATAGACATTCCTTGAGCGTACTGAATTAAAACACGCTAGAAGCCGACGTATATATTGACAAATCATGAATAATTGCCTCGCCACCGGTGTGGAGTTTTCCGCTACGACCAGTTGTGCTCTTGAGATGGAAGAAATGGAATGCGCGATCGTGCCGCACAGAGGTTTTGAAACTGTTGGCATGATAGATAACTGAGAATGTCGTTGTGTTAACATAAGTTGTGTCAGCATACGGATAGCCTGGTAGGGTAGATGCCGACTGAAACGATAAGGTTACTCAATATTTCAGCCAAATGAGGAAGACAAAAGCGGCAGTGGGCCGAGGCAAATAGTCTTTTTGTGTGCTTCGTGATTAGACATGGCGAACTTGGTTTGGATAACAAAAACTGTCTAAACTTTTGGGAAACAAAATTAGCAGTGTTTATATCTGGATATAATGATAGTTTTATCTTGCCTCTTAGGAAGATTGCTTATCCAGTCATTCATCGCTATGAAAATTTGAACATGGAGGTTAACGACACAACGGAAGGACTGTCAAAATCAAGGGGACTTGCCGAATGTCAGATGTTCGCAACGGATGTTTGAGTACCTGAGGAAATGTTCGACCGTCCAAGGTAGTAGTGCGCCTAGAAAATTCATAGTGGCGGAGACTAACTTGGGACAGCCGTTATTTTATATAAACTAAGTTTTTAACCGTTGACACAGCAAACACAAGGCGGAGATATGGTAAGAAAATTTTCAAGCTCAGAGGGCACACATTCATTAGGCAAATTTGTTCTCATTTCGGGCAGTAACTGCGTGGGATGAAATTCTCCCGGTGATTGTAAACGATCCTTCTAGAACCAAATTCAAAGCACTACTAGACATTCGTTTATTCGAATCCTTGGGCTGGAAGCATGAAGCGCGGTGCTACACCCTTTTTCCACTTGTGCCTTCCAGGTTAAAGACAGCCGCTACACGACAAGAACAAAACAACCCAGGAAACTTGGGCAAAAGCCTCGACCCCGTGTATCAAACTATGTGTCCGTGATTCGAAGAATTCCAAACATGGTCGTCATAAGGGTAGGTTTCCAGAGAGGAAAAATCTGCGCTCTGCACTGGTGTAATAAAAGAATTGCCTCCCAGCAAATAGAGCCAGGCACTGTAACTATAAAATTAAGTGTAATGACCGCATTAAAGTTTATATAGGACAGACGGCCAGGGCACTTCACCGCGGAAGCGTATATCTTAGTACAAAATTAAAGGGGCCACCCAGAAACACGGATCAATATTTAGCGTCACAGAAAGACTCGGCAATTGCAGGACACGCACTAGACACGGAACATAAAATTTTGAGGTTTTGAGGCGAAAAGCACTGTCCAAGTCACAAAGGCTGATGGCCGAGTCAATGCTAATAAAACAGAATGCGTGGGACTGCCAAAAGTGTGGAGAATGTTTCTTGATTGGTCGCGGTAGCACATGTTAGAACACGTGTTGTTGTGCGGTCATCAAAGGGGAAGGAGTTACGATATGAATCATATTTTATCTTGCATCAGCACCTTCCCAAATAAATTATCGCAGCACTGACAAGTCCACAGAGATCAGCGAAATCTCTCAGCGGCAATCTTGGTGAATCATCAATTGAAGCCCAGCATGGTGGAAGATAAAGCGGCTAAGCCCAATCAGAATTAATGTGAAACTTCCATAATCAGTCAAAGCAAGATTTTGGCAACCACACTAACCGACAAGAGCCAGTAATTGACGCACAAAACCTGCCTAGTGTGCTAATTTGAAGAGGTCTTACTGATTGGTTCTCGTATGTCTCAAAATCCGGCCAACATAGTGACCTGTTCACTTGGCCTGATGAAGGTTTTGTGTGAAAAGCGAAACACCGCCCGACTAAAAAGCTACCGGTTGTCTACCGAGCTCTTCTGCAACGAATCAATGCAGCAGCGCTGAAATTTACTCCAACTGATACGGCATCCTAAGAAAACACAAGGCACCAAATTGCGCTGTGCAACATTGTGTCTAAGGGGTGCCTTTAGAAGCATGGATGATGGTGATGGGACGTTTCAACTTAAAAATAGGTCGCACTGAGCAGGGGCAGATGTTTGCATATTGGAAGGAAGACAACACCATAAAATGTAACTATCATAGAGTGACAGCATTAAATAGCGAATCACAGTCTGAGGTTCCACAGGTCTTATGTTGCTTGTTATAGTTGTATATAATCAAACAAGCGGACCGACCCTTGCAGTAGTACCGCACACGGCGTTTATACGGTGAGACCGAAAATGTGTGGCTAGGATAATCTGGAAATACGTTAGATCTGTGAACAGACCAAGATGCAAGTGATAGGACGAGGATCCAGTGTGAACCCTTGATTACACCTGTGGAAATATCGCCTGGTGAGAGAACGTTCTACACTGCGCTGCCAACATCGATAGTTCCGTGATCTTCCTTTCAAAAAGATGAGACAAAATGCGAATGCTAAATGCTTCCATAACAGCTCCGTTAGTAAGGAGGCAGGTAGGCGGAAGGTGCAAACAGGATGTCGCCGTTTCGCATACGTGCTCAGGAAACATAACTAGAGCCGTTGGAGGCTAAGGGTCCATATGGTTAGGGCATACCCTGTGTAAATTCTGTTCAAATAGACGGACAAACTGCTTTTTGTGAGTCAAAATTTAGAGCAAACTGTGAACTTGTTGTGCAGTACAGATGCACGAAAACAGCCCGGGAACGGAGGATCGTCCTCTTATGACGGAGAATTTAAAATGGACGAAAGAAAACAGAAAAGCATAGGAGTAATTTGGATCGCTGGCCAAAGAGCTGCTATTCCTACTTACTGTTTTACGTATGAAAGCATGCAGCTAAGCTTCAAGTGTTACATTTTTGCGGGGAATAGGCGGTAGACTTAGCTCATGATTCAGATATTGTGGGCTATATCGTGCCAATCCTGATTTAATCCGATGGCTTGCTGATAAAAAACAACTTTGAGCATGACTGTTGTAGAGAAGAACAGTAGAACTGAGAATCAGTTGTTTTCCAGTTCGTACGGCGGCATCTGTGCCAACATTTCACTTATCTTGTAGGATTCAGTGAGAAAACTTTCGACCTGAGCCTCCATCTATGACCTGGGAATAACGCACCTTAAGGAGGATGACTGGGGCCCATCACTAATGGACCTGATGATCGTGCTCCCATCTAAACTGAATTCACGTTGCTCTAAAGGACTCGTAAGCTGCAAAGTGTCTCATTGTACGCAAAAGTTACTTGAAGAAGCTAGGGCGACACACTTAGCTCGATGACAAATGGGAGCAACCCGTCCTCCAAAAACGAAGTCTCAACACAATTTTAATAATGTCTTGAAAGAGCTACC